TGCCGCTTGCCTCCCCATCGCCCATCGCAGGCCGAGCGCTGGGGGGGAAAGCACGCGGCGGCGGCCATCAAACGTCATCACCAAATTTCGACGGCGCGATGGGGGCCATCAAAAGTCATCACCACCCCCATCGAAACCCCATCGAAACCCTATCGAGACCCCATCGGCAACCCGCCGCCCAGGACGCCCCATGGACGTCATCAAAAGTCACCAAACCCCATCAAAAGTCATCAAACCCCATCAAAAGTCATCACCGTTTCCAACGGCGCGCGGGAGGGTCATCAAAAGTCATCAGCCCCCGCCATCAAACGTCACCAAAAGTCATCACCAAATCTCGGCGACGCGATGGGGGCCATCAACGCCCATCGAAAGGTCATCGGACCTTCTACGCCAGGTGGCGAAGCCCCCCCACGCGGCCATCAGACCCCCCCCCCCCCCCCACCCACACACCCACACGCCCACCCCCTGGGGCAGCTGGCAGCCCCCTGGAGTGCCCCCCCACCCACCCACTTCCACCCCCGCCCCCACCCCCTGGAGTGCCCCCCCCCACCCCCTGGGGCAGCTGGCAGGCGCCGCTGCGCGCGCTCGGCGCCCCTCTCACCTCGGCCAGCGGCGCTGGGCTGCTCAGGTGCTGCCTGCATGCGCGGCCCCCCCCTCCCGCCCCCCTCCCCCCCCCCCCCCCCCCCCCCCCCCTCTCCACGCGCACCCCTCACCCGCGCGCCCGCACCCGCGCGGAGCGCGCGCGGCGTCGGGCTCTCCTGACGCCGCGTTCGCAGCGCGCCGCACTCCCTTTCTCCTGCCCATCAGCCACTTCGCTGGCTCCGCCATCGCGCTTTCGCCCAGCGACCCGCGGCGTCGGGCGCCGAGCCAAGCGCGCCTTAGCATCGCGCGCATGCTCGGGTTTTGCTAGGGATACGCGCTGGCAGCTTGCCCGTGGCTTAAGCATCGCAATAGAGGAAACAAGACGGGTGGTGGGGGGGAGTCCTGAATCTTGTCAATCTACAGGAGGGTCCCCAAAAGTGCTCGCGGCGGGAGTGGTCGAATATGCGAGCTCCAAATGGCGGCAGGCGGTGGGTTATTGTTCGCGCGCGCGACGGATTTGGAGCGCGACCGCTGCGGGCGGCGGCATCTGATTGCGCCTTCGAACAAAATCGCGGCGCGCTCGCGCGCGCATCGCGGTGCCTTGCGCGCCTCGGGCACATTCCGCTGACGCATGCAGGCGCATGCGGCGCGACAGTGAGCGCCGCGTCTCCGCGAGCGCTCGCTGCGCGAGCGCGGTTGGGGGCCTTTCGCTTCAGGTCGTCGGAACATGGCGGCGCTGCTTTGGGGCATTGGCGGCCAACGGCCAGGTCGCTCGCTGAGGCCACGCGCCCAACGAAACGCCAGCCTGGCGGCGCAGGGCGGGCGAGCCAACCTACGTCGATGCCAACCGTGCCAATGGCAACCGCGGGTGGTGGTGGCTGCGCGCAGGTAGCTTGCCTCGACAACCGCGCGGCCGCTCGCCATGACGTCGGTTCGCGATCCTCGCGCGGCGGCGTCGGCAGCGTGCGACGCGCATGCGCGCGGGCTTGCTCCGCGGCCAATCCAGCTAGCATCGCGATCCACCCTGTCGGGCGCCCGCGCGCCCTTGGCTCCGCGCGCGCGCGGCCTCGTGCCCGTTCGGTGTTCTTCTGCCCCCCTGGCGCATTCGGGCGCCCGCGTCCGACGCCCGCTCCGCCGATCGGCCGCACTCGACGGCGCAATCGCGCCCGAGCGGCTGCCCCGCGGCTCGACGCCGCAGCCAGGGCAGCGCGCGCACAGCTGTCACCGATTGCTAGTGGGGGGCGTCGGTCGCGCGCGATGGGCGCCGCGTTCCCAATCGCTTGCGCGGCATCGGCTGCGCGCGAAACGCGCCAGTCTAGCGGCCCGACGCGGCCGCGGTTGCGCGCAGCCAGCGCGAGGCAGCCGAGCGCCGCTTGGACCCTCCGCGGCGCTGCGCGATGGATTGAGACACGCGCCATTTCAGCTGCCACCTCGGCGCGGCGGCGCCCGCGGTGACTCAAACTTCTGGACGCCTTGCGTGCCGCCATGATCCATTGGATGGCGCCGCGCGCCACAGCCCGCGCACGTTGTGATTGCATGCGCGGCGGCGCCGTAAATTGGCGGCGGCCCGTTCAATCCAGGGAATATCGCGCCTTGGCGCGCGCTTGGTTTAACCAGCGTTCCCCATCATGCGCGCACGTATACGCAAATCTTCGTTCCTATGCCAGGCGCCCATCGGCCACGCGAGCTTGCCGCCTCTCATCATGCGCGGGTTGGTTGAATTTGGCAGCGCCCATCGCAAACGCGATTGGTTGCATTGCAAAAATGTAAACCCAGGGGCGGCTGCCGTGCTCCACAGTCGCGGGCGGGGGGGGGTGGGCGGTGGTGGGGGGGAGGCGTGGTCAGGCACTTAGGGCGCGAATCGCATGCTGGTTGCACGGCAAGCGACAAAATTGATTGCATTGTCTGCCGCCCCGTCATCAGGACCGTGAGTCTGTCCACGGCAGGGTCCCACATCTGCCTTTAGTGCGGGTGTTGTTTAGCGCGTCCACTATGTGGTGGCAATGCGCCCACTGGGCGAATTTGCATATACAGGCCGCACATGTGCCATTCCAGGTTTGCTCCCTCGAGGTAAATGTGCGTTTGTGCCAAAGGGTCCCACACGCTGCAAGCCCTTCACGGGCTGCGGATAACGATGCCACGGCCCACCTTCGAATGATGTGGCGTTGTCGTTGTGCTATTCAATCTCTGGCCGTGTTCGAACGCCCGCTGCCCGTCGCATCCTCGCCGTTCTGGGGTCACTGTTTGCGTCCAGTCACTTGCATCCACGCGGCGTCGGCACAGTCCTCGGCATATGCTGCGATAGACAGTTGTTTTGGATAGAGCTGTGCGCGCCACCGACAAGTGCAGCAATGATGGGTCAAACGCTGGTACGTTCCAGGGCCATGTGCCACGCGTCGCCCCGCGTTGTTATGTAAGTATGCCGGAGGCGCGGTCTGTGCTGATGCGCTTTGCCTTCGCAATGATAGTTGGGTTCCTCAGACGTGATTGCACTCGAGTGATCAGTTGTCTCTTGCTTGACCATTGAAGGCCTTTCCGTGCTTCCTGAGATGTAGCACTTGGTTGGCGTGCGCTCGTATTCTTAGCATCGCCCAAACACTCTTTGAACGAGCCACGCGTGTCCGTGAACATCAAACACTTTCTGACATAAGCATGTTGGCCTCGACCAGGATGTGCGACAGGTGTTCGTTTCAAGGTAGTTTGGCTCTCGGGCGCCGCGCACGTTCGTTCTCCTCATGTTGCAGCGGTGGCCGCCGAAGGTGTGATTCTCAATGTTCGCAGGCGCCAATTGAGCGCAGACGGAGCACGTGGCAACTCTTTTCATAATGTTGCCAGTTTCTTCTATCGCATATTCAGAGCCATGGGTTGCCTTTGTCGCAACAGGCATTCGATGTTGATTGCTTGGTAAGTTAGGTTGTCGCCCCATAGTGAAGGGGGAGAAGGGGGGAGGAGGAGGAGGAGGAGGAGGGGGAGGGAGGAGGAGGATGAGAAGGAGGAGGAGGAGAGGAACGATGAGGGGGATGAGCCCGACCTCCGACGTTTCGGGCACCCCCCCCCCGCCTACAGCAAACAACAAGCAACAGGGGGGGGCTGTCCTTCGACCTTCGGGGGGCGCAACAGCTGAGAGATGGAGTGCGCAGGCCTTTATCCCTCTCGTTCACCCCCCCCTCTGCTGTCTCACCGAGGGTCGACCGCGTCGAATTGCGACGGTGCGACATTGAGGGGTGGAGGAGTAGGAAGAGGGGGAGAGGAACATCTTGAGGCAAGGATAAGATTTGGAGGAGGGGAGGGTGGTGAGTAGGAGGGGGGAGGGAGGACAGAGACAGAGCAGAGGAGGAGGAGGAGCAGGATGAGGAGTAGGAGCGAAAGAACACTCGCGTCAGGTCTGAAATGGCGGCATCTCCGCGCCTCCCCTTCGTTTTGTCAGGGCTCACGTGCTATGTATGTTGCGCTGCATGGTAACCTCGCAGCTCAAAGCTGTGCCATGCTATGTGATGCTGTGTTGTACAATGATTGCGATTCAAGTGCTTAGTCTCGGCCCGCTCCCCTTTGCAGCCAACGCTGGTTCCCTTTCGCTCAAGCGAAAGTTGTCGTTGCTTGTTGCATGCGTTGCATTGGCCATCAGCTCTCAGGGTGGAGCGATCGCTCTGGGGGGGAGCGTCGCATTGTACATTTAGGTTGAGTAGGTTGGTAGGTGCGTTCGGTGTGTCTTGGTTGTGCGCCCTCATTGCACTCCACTTTGGGCTCCCGTCCTTTGGCCCTTTGGGACTCAGCATTGGGCCCTGCCCTTCAAGGCGCCTCCCCTGGAGCCTCTTGGGGCCAACCCTTGGGGCTTCATCCTTGGAGCCCAATCGTAGGAGGTTAGGCTGGCAAGGATGCGTTACTGGGTTGTTGGGTCCTACTAGAGCCGTGGCCGTGCGATCAAGAGAGGGTAGGCGATGCCGTCATGGCTCCACGTGCCCTCAAAGCGCTCAAACAAGGAAATACAGAGCAGGAAACGCTGTTGAATGCGCATCGGTTGCAGTAGGAAAGCCGTAGGTATCTGTAGGTGGTTGTTGCGCGCACCATGCAGCGCGAGAGTAGGACAACACTAGGACAGTGAAGAGTAGGCGTGATAGTGCGCCCCCCTTCTGGACTCACTTTGAGGCTCCACCGTGGCGCCCAGGCCTTTCATTCGGGACCCCTGCCCCTCAAGGCAGCCTCCCTTGGGGTCCACCAGGTGGCCTTTCCCTTGGGGCTCCAGCTTGGAGCCCAAGAGTAAGTTAGGACATGGGGCCTTTGCTGATGGCCTAGGTGGTGCCATCGATGTGGTGCAATATGTTGGGGCTTAGCCAGCGAGCTTTGCTGTGGGAGCGCCCGTCCAACCTCCATCCCCCCCGTCACGCAGCCTTTTTCGGCACGGAGTTTTCGGCAGCAAGGCGCCGCTGGCGCCGTCCTCGGCTCCGAGAGTGGCCCATCACGTACTGGAGCCCGCGCGTGGAGCTGGCAGCTCAGAGGCAGTGCGCCGCCATGGGCGGCAGAAAGCGCACGAGTGCAGACAGCGACAGCGGCGCCCCCGTCAAGGTGGCTCAGCCTCGCAAAGGGAAGGCTGGAGGCGTCGGCAGTGACGCAGTGGCCTGCGACCGCTGCGACGAGCCCGTGGATCGGTCGACGTGCCATCGTGGCAAGGGTTCTGGGCGTGGCGCCCCTCCGACATACGGGTGCGACACGTGCTTCGCGTGCTTCACCCGCCACTTCCAGCAGGACATGGCCTGGCAGGACTTCTGCGAGAGGTGCCGCGAGGACGAGGATTTCAACAAGGACTGCGACAGCAAGATCCAGGCCGACAGCGAGCTTGCCGCGAACATCGAGGATGCTATCGGCGAGCATGGCAGCGTCGAGGTGGACGTACTCTACGGCCAGGAGATCAGCAAGACGTCGATCCAGTTAACGAAGGAGCAGTGGACAGAGAGGGTCTGCCCGAAGGGCGCGGTTGGCATCACGCCTGAGATGTGCAAGGTGGAAGAGACCCGCGTTGTCTCGTCCTCTCAGCCTGGCGTGAGCTCGACTGGCGTCGTGCGCCAGTACCCGTCGAAGCCGTTCACGGAGATCAAGAACTACACCAGGGCGGAAGTACGCTTGAGCACCATCAAGCTCACGGCGGCGAAAGCGGCAACTTCAAGAGGGGAGCAGCAGACTTTCAAGCAGGAGATCACGAAGATCAGACAGAAGCAAGCGACCATCCTCCGAGGGCACGCCAAGGTGCCGACGCTCACCCAGTTGCAGGAGATCGCCAACGCGGAGGCTGTGAGCCGTGGCCTTTCGGCTTGGCCGCCAAAGGCCAAGGGCTCGCCTGCTGTTCCGTCGGAGTTCCTCGCCATCGAGAACGGGGGCGCCGACGAGGTGGAGCAAGCCTCAGTCCGAGGCGGTGGCGCTTCGCAGGCCGCGGCCGCGGCGCCTCGGGCTGCCTCCAAGGCCGCAGCGGCGTCGGCGGGCGCGAGGGGCCCTACCACCCGCGGCGGTTCGGGCGCGCGCCCTGCGGCACCCGCCAGCGGTGCTACTCCCCAGGCGCCGCGGACGGGCAGGCTCTCGTCAGGGGACTTGGCTGCCTTGGGGTCGCCAGCAGCCTCATCGGTATCACCTGGTAGAGATCGTGGCCGCTCGAGGTCTCCAGCGCCGAGTGCGGGTACGCACGTGAGCTCTGGGCGCAAGATTGCACCGAAGGCGTCGGCGGCAGCCTTGGCTAGCGACAAGGTGCGGTGGGAGCAGTTGAAGCATGCCGTCGTCATCCCTGACATCCTCGACGGCTTGCCGAAGGGCGATCGGGTCTACAGCTTGAAAAGGTTCCGACCTACTTCAGCCAGCATGGCGATCATGGCCGAGACACTGCACACGAAAGCTGAGACAGCGACAACGCTAGTGACCAACATCAACGAAATGGGTTGGGAGCAGATCTGTGGGCAGCTTAAGAAACTAACAAACGGGGACGTCGAGTGCGCCTACAACTTCACGCAGACCCTGCTGAGGAAGTACTTGCTCCTGGGCAACCCCTCGATCGATCAGATCGCGGATGCGATCTTGCCAGTCACAGCCACGCCAGAGCCCTTCAACATGTACGAGCCCAAGCTCTCCAGCATGAAGAGCGACATCGACTCGAGAGTTGCGGTGTCTCGAGAGATCCTCATGGACATCGTGGTGCTTCCTGGCTTGGCGGACCCCTCCATGGTCAAGCACCTGCAGCAGCTTGGGGTCGCCTTGGCCGACCACTTCGGTGGCAGCTTGCCGGAGTGGAGCCCAAGCGTCAAAGACTACTTCGAGAAGGTCGTTGGCGTGGGCCTCTTGCTGACCCACCTGGGCAACGACGACCCTGAGTCCTTCTCGGCCTGCGCCCCGCACATGCCATTATTGATCAACTTGCTGACGGGTGGCTTCTCCGATCCAGAGTGGGCGCCGCTCGCGGCGGCTTTCGGAAAGCACGAGCCCTGGGCCGAGTGGAAGTCGTCATTTCGACGGGCTGCTTTGACAGACCTCCAAGCGGCGCCGAAGATGAACTCGTTGATGCTGGAGCTGAGGGCTTCTGAGTTCGATGAAGATGGTTTGAATGCCCTCACCTCTGCGATCACGTCCATCGGTCATTGGAGGAAGACGTGCCGTGGCAAGGCATCGTCGACAGTGAAGGCGGAGGAAGCAGTCCAGCAGACCATCATCAGGATGACCAGCACTCTAGTCGACAGCAGCGACGCCCTCGTGAACCTGGAGATGTTGAGCAAGCTCGAGGTGGTCATGACCCAATACTCTGTGGCTGCGGACTTCTCCCTGGACGACGAGGCGACCGATAAGCTGGACGGTGCGTACGCTCGCTTGCTGGACAAGCGCACCGCCGCCGAGGCGTCCAGGAGTTCATCGGCCATCATGGCGTCGGTCACCAAGTACCTCAGCGACCCCAGCGAGGAGAACCTGGACTTCGTCAACATCGCCCTCAGGACCAACAAGAAGGTTAGCATCAGCGTCAAGGACGATTGCGAGAACATCGCCAGGGCGATTGCCATCATCTTCAATGGCATCGAGGTGCTCGACGTGAAGAACCCCGACGAGATGGTGAGGGGCCCTGAGATGGGCACTCTGATTAAGAACGCCTGGTGGCGCAAGGGCATCGCCGATAGCCTGCGGAAGACCATCAGCCACCTCGGCGACACCTCCCTCCTGAACAATGCGGTCAACATGCGGTGCGCGGACGTGGAGGGGCACATTGGGCACATCGTTCAGTTCGAGAAGTTCATCTCGGTGACGGCGCAGCAGGACGCAGAGAACGCGGCGCTCAAGGCGGTATACCAGGAGCTCGTGTCAGCTACGATCAGCGTGCCAGCCGTGAACTCCGACACCGAGGATGCGCACTTGGTTCCTTTCGGCTTCGACGCGTGGAAGGTCTTCACAGAGAAGGTGGGTCCGTGGATCCCAGCGGCGAAAGAAGCGACGGATGTCTACTCGAAGATGCGTGCTACCGAGGCCGCGGCGGCAGCCAGCCGCGTGGCGTCAAGGCTGGAGGAGATCGCTGGCGGCATGGCCGACGGCAGCGGCTTCATGGACACCTACACTGGCAGCGATGACGACTGGCCAAGCCTCCAGGACCATCTCAAAAAAACGCTGTTCCGTCAGATCGGCATCAGCAATAAGATCAAAACGTTGGTCAAGGACGTAGCCGAGAAGCGTGGTGAGTTTACGGCGGCCTGCGCAGATTTCGCAGTGGTCGAGTCCGAATTCGAGTCGGAGAAGAAGAAGTGGACGGATGCCGCCCAGAAGAGCAACGTCACGATGACCGTGGCGTCGCTCGCGCAGGCGGCGGCGGCGAAGGGTGCGTCAGCGACGGACACCTTGACGAGGGCGATCGACGCCATGACGGCGAGGGCGGTGGCGGTGGAGGAGATCCCCACGGGCCTCTGGAAAGAGGTCCAGAGGCGCTTGGCCGAGTGAGCGGCCCCAGGCAGCAGGCTGCGCCGCCGCCGCCTAGAGGAGGAGGGAGGAAGACGAGGAGGAGGAGGGAGGAGGAGGGAGGAAGAGGGAGGAGGAGGGGGGAGGAGGGAGGAGGAGGGAGGAGGAGGAGAGACGACGACAGAAGAGGGAGGAGGACGCGAGCCCGAGCCAGGCACGAAGCGAGGACGCCGCCGCTGCTGCCGACCCAAACCTTCTTTCTTGCTGCCCCCTCCTTCACCTCGCCTCCTTCCCTGCTTCTGCCTCCTTTCCCCCTCCCGCCTCCGCCTTCCCTCTCCCTGCCTCTCTTCCCTCCTCCTCTTCCTCCCTCCTCCTCCTCCTCTAGCCCCCTCCTTCTCCTCGCCCTCCCTCCTCCTCATCCTCCTCCTTGCCACCATTTTTTTGATGTTGATGCGCGTGGCTTTCAGTTGTGCTAGTGGGTTCGCCCATGAATGCGTGGTCTTGGGCTCGGCCCGCAAGCGGGCCACCCACCCTGGCGGCCATCAAATGTCATGCCTGTTTTTTACAGCGTTTGCCTCAGCCCAAAAGGGCTGATAACTGTTCGCGGAGCCCCCCGAGGGTGTCCATCACCCTACTTTCACGCCAGGATGGGGGCCACCAAACCTGATGGCTGTTTCGGACCATCAAAACCCATCAAACGTCATACCAGGGCCTAGACAGGCAAGAGAAACCTCAATCCCAGCGCCCCAGATTTCGAACCGCTCGTCGCCAATTTGGACGACCAGGAAGCGTTGCCCGCCCTCCGTGCGGAGCTGGACGTCGCGGATCGGGCCGAATACCGCTCCATCCAGGGGCTGCGGGAACAGGGGGACGGTGCTCGCTGCTGCTGCGCGCGACCTGGCTCGGGGGAGGGTGTCGTTCTGGATGACCACGTAGTCGCCGTTCTCGATGTCTGGGTTGTCAGTCATGATCTGGCGGGTGGGGGTCTGGAGGGGTGCGTCCAGGACTCGTCCTTGCCGTCGGTCGCGGTCGCGTTGCGCGCGCTCCAGAGAGGAACCAGGGATTGCGATGACAGCTGGCGGGGTCCCCGCGGACCTGGTCGCCGCGGGGCGCGTTCTGGGTGGGAGCGAGGCCGGCTCGCTGTCACTCGGCGTGGGCGGTGGTGTTTCCCCTGCCGCCCGCGGGGCGGCTGCGGGGTCCTCGTGCCGTTCAGGGGCGCGCGTGGCGCAGAGAGGCTGCGCGGGCTGGGTCCCGGGCTGGTAGTAGGTGAGCAGCTCCTTGCCCGCGGCTCTAACGTCGGCGGTCGCGACGAATGCCTCCGGCACCGGTCGCGGGTAGGCCCATGGCGAGGGGCCGAAACTCACGCGGCTGGCGCGGATGTGCTGCTCCCAGCGCGCGCCGAGGTCGCCGCCGCCATTGACTGCGTCCGTCGTCAGGAAACCCACCAGGTGCACGAGGGCGGCGCGGTCGTGGCCCCATTGTCCCTGCGGGAAGAGGGTGTCAGGGACGACCTCTCCATAGACCAAGCTCAGGAACTCGTCGCAGGCCTCTGCGTCCCATCCGCCGGGGTCCGAGCTCTGCGCCCGCGCGCGCCCCGTCTCGGAGGCCCTCTGCGAGGCCCAATTGGTCCACTGCCGGTGGTGCTGACAAGCCAGGGTGATGTAGTGCTGTATAACTCGCGCTGCAGGCAGCCCGGGGCGACCGCGTCGCGCCCGGACGCAAGCCCCGCGATGGAGCGGGCCGTCAACTCGGGTCCGCTTGGCAGGCCCACGGCCGGGAGCTCCAGGCTCCGGACGTGGGCCCCAGCGTCTTCAGGGTCGGCAGCGCCTGCCTCGCGACGGGTTCGTGGAGCCGGCTGGGGGCGGGGGGCAGACCAGGGGCCGCCGCGTCCCGTGCCAGCCGTGCCAGCCAGGCACGGGCAAGCCTCCACCGCCTGCTGGCCCAGCTGCACGACGTAGGCGAGTAGCTGCTGTCGGTGCGCCAGGGGCGGGTAGCGCTGGGTGAGGACGTGGTCAGCGCAGTGCTGCTCCCAGCTGCCCCTCATTCCGCCTTGGCCGACAAGCCGCGCAACCACGTGTCCCAGGAAGTACGGCTCCGCGTCGAATGTCCAGCGCGGCAAGTCTGGCAGGGTGTTATCGGGGATGACGCCTTCAGGCCAGATCGCGCGGAGGACCTTTCGCAGGTAGTTGTCGGAGAGCAGCTGCGGGCTGCATACTGTGGTGTGCTCGCCGTCGTCGTCCAGGGCGGTGTCGACCAGGTATCTGTAGTGCTGATCCACCTCGAAGCCCAGGTGCCGCAGGTGCCATACGTGTGTGCGCAGGTCATCTGGCCCTGCGTCGCCCGCGCGATTGGTAGGCCGAGCGGGCGCGCTGGGCCGAGCCCACGCAGGTATCTGAAGAGCCCACTGGCGGAGGGCTGTACGGGGGCTGTTGGACCGGTGGGCGTCAGGCGCCGGTCCTTGCTGGGCCTTGGGCTGCCTGCGGGGTCAGGGGCACGGGCGTCGCGCCCGTCTGGCAGGGGGGTGCCGTCCTGCAGGGGCCCGCTGCCGGTCGCAAGCTGCGGGGCTTGCTGTGCTGCCGCGCTGGCAGCCGCGTCTGCAGGTTTGGCCTCGCCGCTGTCTGCGCCTCCGGCGTCCTGGCTTCTTATCTGTGCCACGGCCCGTTCGTGCGTCGCCCTGGCCGCCACCCTTCGCGCCCAGGAGCGTCGCTGTCGCTCGTCGTTCGGCTGAGGCGGCGGCGCGCCGCGCTGGCGCCCCTGGTTGGCGCGCGCCTCCTGATCCCACGCGGCAGCTCGCCGTTGCACGTCCTGCTGGCTGGGGCGCAGTGCGGCCCCCGTAGGGGCGGCAGGGATTCCAGGTAGCGCGTCGAGGGGCTTGGCTCCGTGGCCAGGGCATACCGCAGGGCCGCACTTATCGAGCACGCGTCGCAATGCAGACGGGGCCATGTCCCATTGGTGGATCAGGCAGTCCTCGCAGTACCAGCCTGCGTGCCAGCGCTGTGTCAGGAACATCTCCTTCATGAGCTGGACCGGCGGAAGCCCATGCACCAGGATTAGGCCAGCGCGGAGGCTTTCAGGGTCAGCGGCGTGGCCGTACATGCCGGGGATGGGCTGTCCAGGCTGCCGCCTGTGCCCTTCTGTGCCGGGCGGGCAGCCGTCGCGCCGCCGCATGCTGACGTTGCTCGCGTGGAACAAGGAGATGAGGCGGTCGTCACTGGTGTCGCTGGCTGGTAGCGCGGTACTACATTGGGCGGGTTCATGTCGCCGTCCAGTGGGACCAGGAGCTGCTCCAGGGGCGTGTCGCACGTGGATGTCGGCGCTGAGCAGCGCCCAGGCAGGGCACGCGTGGTGCGCACCGGCATGTCGTCGGGGCGATCGTTGATCCAATCCTTGAAGTCCACGTCCTCCCGGATGGGTCGGCGTTCCTGCATGGCCCTCGTGGTCCAGCAGCAAATGCGCAGCCAGGTGAGGTCCATCCCTTGGTAGTACTCCGTCTGCCTGCTGACCGCGATGGCCAGGCGGACCCGCTTGCTGACGTGCGGAGGCACCCCTGGCAGTAGAAGTCGGCCTTGTTCTGCTCCTTCACCCACCGAGTATCGCGCTCGTCTATCCAGGGAGGCCGCAGCGTCACGCCAGGGCGGGGCCCGAGCGGGGCGGGCGCGCCCAGGTGCACGTGCGTGACGGAGAACCCCGCCTAGCCGGGCGACCTTGCCCGCCTGCCTTGCAGGGCCCGCGGTGAGGCTTATATTGAATTCGAGTACGTCGACGTAGAGTTCGCATACCGCGCACTTGTGGCCCGCCAGGGCCGACAGGTCGGCAACAAGTACTGTGGCTTCGATGACGGCGAGTGTGGCCTGGGCGGGAACTTCGCGGTCTCGAGCACCTTCCAGGTGCGGGGGCATCCCGCCCCAATGGCGAGAGGGCGGTGGTGGGCGACCAGGACCAAGCGGGACACCGCAGAGATAAGGAGCTCCAGCGCCGAATGTAACTCCTTCAAGTGCTTGGCCCCAAGCCCGAAAAGTGCTCCCAGATGGTCCCGCGCAACGCTGTCGCGCGGCCGGTGTGGCTCGCACAAGCCCAGGATGGCCTCGATCACGTCGCCGATGCCCTCGGCGCCCCCATATGGGTAGAGGCCGGTACGCGGTTCGCGCTGCAAGAGTAAGGACAGGGCGAGGAGGATTCTGGCCTGGATGGCCCCCAGGGTCGCGCCGGTGCTGTCCAGGAGGCGGCGCAGGACTGTGGTCCGGCGCCCGCCTGAGGCCATGTCGCAGAAGGCCTGAAACACCTCTGGTGTGGGTGGTCCCTTGTGCTTCTGGCACTTGCAGGCTGTTGGTTGCCAACAGTTGGGGCGGCGCCTGCAGGCGGTGCTTGGGATGCGGGCCTCCTTGACGCGCCACGCGGTCGGCCTGTTTCGGCCGCCCCCTTCTTGGTGGAATCAGGGTGGAGTCAACGGCCCGGGCGTTGTCGTTGCTGGTGACTCCGAGCCCGATGGCCCACATGAAGTCGCGAAAACTGCCGTGAAGACCAGGTTGCTGGCGCCCAGGCCCACCAACATTGAGCAGAAGAAGAAGTACCCGTTCATGCTCCATCCTTTCCTGTCCTGCAGGCTGGGGTCCGTGGGCTGGTCCGCCACGCCGAATTGGTGCGGGTGCAGTCCGAGGCGCCAAAGAATGCGGGGTCCGAAGGCAGCGCAGTACGGGGGCCGCACGACCGCCGCGTTAACGTCGTCCTCCAGGCCCGACCAGCTGTGGTCCGTAGGGAGGGGCAGGTCGGCGCGGGCCGAGAAGCCCGCCTGGGCTTGCCGAGCCATGAACACCTCCCTCTCCCTCTGCTTGCGGTCAGCGTCCGCGCGCAGCCGGGCATTCTCCTGGGATGTATCCCTGGAAGACGCGTGGGTCCGCGCGGGTCTGGCGCAGTGTTCCGTCCGAGTTGTGATGGAACTCGAATGTGAGGCGCGCCTTCTGGGCCCAGGTGCTTAGGTGGTGGAGGGCCGCGTCGGTGGCTGTGCGGAACATCCTCGCGTCTGCGGTCATGATGAGGTCGCG